AGCTCACTAGTGACTAGTTTTCTTGCACCCAGCAAGGAAAAATCCCATAGAGGTCCAGGCCCAGCCAACCTCCACAGTTCTCGACAGCTGCGAGTACTAAGTACCCAGCCAGAACTTCTACTACAAACAAATACCTGCAGTGCCAAAGCACGCAGCCAGCGAGAGCCGTAAGCGATAGAAGTCCATGCGCACCAGACAAACAATGACTGAGCTCGCAGGATTCAAAACACGCATCTCAGTGGCTTGCTCTTCAGTTAGCAGCCTCCAGAGCAAAATCAGAGAGATAGATCAAGCCTTCAACTTTCCAACAACGGCATCGGAATGCAATGCCTTCGTCATGGATAAAATGACAGAAATTGAAGAAGCAGAGATCCCTCTGAAAGGCTTTTCGGAGTACCTGGAAGCACAAGTCCAAAACGCTATGAATTTTCTCGGACTAAGGAAGGACAATCAGAACGAGAAAGGCTTATGACCGATCTTGATGCATTTCTTTCTACTGAGGCAAATAGAGTGCAGATGGAAGCTATCAACTGGTTAAATAAGTTGAAATATCGGACGAGGGAACTGGAAAAACAATCAAGCCTGATTCACGCTTTAGCATCGTCCTCGACGCGAACATCAGTACCGGACACTGATACGGATAGTTGTCTATCCACAAGACAACTCACTGAAAACAAAGTCCGATTACCAGTGCTTGAAGTCCCAACGTTTAGCGGAGGCTACAAAGACTACCCGACGTTTGGACGATCTTCAATTCGCTTATACACAGCAACGCACAGCTTACCGACACTGATAAGTTCCTATTTTTGAGGCAAGCACTAAAAGGATCTGCTGCTTCTATGCTTGGCAATATTCCTGTGATAGGGAAAAATTACGACAAAGCTGTAAAACTCCTCGACAAGAGATACAACAAGTCCGGATGCATAGCTGATCTTCTCATCACAGAACTCGAAAAACTTCCGCGAGCAAAGGAAGACGCCAGTAGCTGCCGAAAAATGCTAACCGATGTGACTGAGAAACTCACTCACATTGAGTGTGCGGGAGTCACCTTGGACAATGGACGAATGTGGAGACGCTTGATACTCTCAAAATTCCCAGCATCACTGAGCGAAAAGGTGTTCAGCAAAGAGCAAAATGAAGACAAACCGTTTTCTACCGAGGAAATACTAGACATCCTGGAAAGTGCGGTAGCTCTCAAGGAAACAATCGCCCTTTCAACGGACACATTCCAAGAACGCGTGACCTTCAGCCAAAGCAACCGTTCAAATTTCAACAAGGAATTGCAGAAGCGACCTCAGCGATTTGAGCAATCGAGTAGGATACATGCAAGAAATGGAACACAATCTCGTTGCCTTTGTGGAAGCACGACTCACTCTGTCTCACAATGTCCAACTCTAAGGACTCCAGATGTACGTCGAAATGAAGCAGCTAAGAGAAAAGTGTGCTGGAAGTGTTTCCAAAGCCACCGCTCAAGCGAGTGTAAGACATTGGGACCCTGCCCCAAATGCAGCAAGGATCACCATTCTGCACTCTGCACGACCGACCGCTTTCCAACGAATTCGTCGGCTACACCAACGACACAGCCGCGATTCAATGACATAAAACGACCAGGCAGAATAAAAACCTCACAAAACGCTGAAATTATCTGTCGCCCCGAAATGGAGAAGAAACAATACGTGCTGATGACAGCGACAGCTCTGGCATTTAATTCCAATACAATGGACTACGAGACTGTCACAATATTCTTTGATACAGGAGCACAGAAAAGCTTCATCACAACTGAGAAAAGCGTCGATCTGCAGCTCCCCGTAATCGGGACTTCGGACTTCACTGTCAGCGGATTTGGAGGAAAAGCCGAAAGCTTCAATTCCGACGAAGTTTCACTCACGCTAAAGAATTCCATAAGCGGACAAGCAATGAAGAATATTGCTATACACACGAAGACTCCACTGACCTCTGCGATGAACACAGCGAAATTAAGTGTTAACGACAGAAGATTCATTCGAAGGGAGAAAATCAGAGTAGCCCAAACTACTCTTGACGACAAAATAGTCATTCCAGACATTCTTATTGGACAGGATCTCATCGACAACTTCATACTGCGGGATCGCTGTTGCATAACATTACCATCGGGTCTGATTCTCACACCAACGGTATTTGGCTATGCAATCTCCGGAAAAAGTTCAATTAACGGAACCGACACTTCCATTCACTCCAATACGATTCTCGTCGCGACCCCCGTAATCAACAACGCTAAGGAGGAGTACAAGCAAGACATCAAGAACCTGTATGAACTTGAATCCCTCGGCATCAAAGACAGCGATGAAGAAGCCGTTCTACAATTTATGGAAAAATATAGAAGTACGATCTCGATTGGAAACGGTAGAATCACAGCCGGATTTCCGTTCCTGGACAACGTCTCCAAGCTGAAAAACAATTTCAATGTTGCAGTCAAACGCCTTCAAGCGTTGATTCGCCTCTTGCAGAACGACTCAGAAAAGATGAGCTTGTATAGTGCGGCTCTGCAAGATTACAGTCAACAAGGAATAATCGGGGAAGTACAAGAACATGAAGCATGTGGCATAACAACGTTCTACTTGCCGCATCGTCATGTTTGGACCCCAGGAAAAAGCACTCAACTCAGGATTGTGTTCGATGCATCATCACACGCCAAAGGAGAGCTGAGCCTAAATGACGTCATCCATCAAGGGTACTCCCTAACCTCCTGCATCTTCGACATCCTACTGAAATTCCGAACTTACGACAACGCCATGGTGGCTGACATCCAAAAAGCCTTTCTGCAGATTCAACTACCAAAAGAACACAGAGACGCAACACGATTTTTGTGGATGAACGACACTTCGAAACCGCCTGTGGGTAGTAATATCAAATACTACAGATTTTGTCGAGTACCATTCGGAATCAACGCTGGACCAGCAATACTGAATCAGGCACTTTTGAAGCATTTGAATCATGCACAAGCGATACGTTTCGAGAGATATCGGATATGCTTTATGTGGACAATGTGATACTGGAAGGAAAAACCGAGGAAGATCTCTTTGCGAAATATCTCGAATCCAAAGACGTGTTCTTCAAAGTTGGAATGAATCTCCGGGATTACCTTTCCAACTGTCCTGAAGTAAACAACAAAATCCCATCGCAAGATAGAGCTGCTTCCAATGACATAAAAGTGCTAGGACTAAACTGGCACAGCAACGTCGACCATTTGAGTCTTGTCTGCGCCTCGAAAACGCAAACACAAACTACCAAACGTTTCGTTCTCAGCCAGATCAATGGCTTTGTTTCGATCCGTTAGGATTACTTACGCCTCTCCTCACCAACGCGAAAACCTTCCTTCAAGACTTGCATAAGAAGAAGTTAGGATGGGATGATCAGTTATCGAAAGAGGACTGCGAGATCTGGAGCACAATTGTAAAGAACATGACTAACTTCTCCGTGACACTACCAAGACGAGTAACACAACAAGAAGGATGCAAAACCCGCACACTTTCGATGTTCGTCGATAGTTCAAAGAGAGTCTATGCCTGTGCAGCTTATATCACGACTGAAACGGATGAAGAACAGCATTATACAAGACTGTATAGTGCGAAGTCAAAGGTAGCTCCCATCGGAACTACCCAAACAATCCCCAAGCTTGAGCTCTTAGCCATATTCATTGGCATGAATATGCTGGAATACATCGTTACCAAGAGCGGCTTGAAGTTCGACAAGATAAATCTGTTCAGTGACTCTACTATAGCCCTCGCTTGGATACAGTCCAAAAAAACGACTTCCGTCTCTTGTTACCACATTGACGCAAAAGGTACAATTGACCAGAGAACGCCTTGAACAGTACCAACATGTTCACTTCCATCACGTCCCCACTGAAGAAAATGTTGCCGACTATGCAACACGGGGCCTCTCACGAACGGAAGCTCAAGATCACATATGGTTCCACGGTCCACAATGGCTCAATCGACGCAAGCAACATTGGCCCACTCGCCGCATAGAATGCATAACCAAAGAAGAAGAAGAAGACTGCTTCGCAATCCTCAGCACGATGGTAGCACCGTTTATTCCGGAAAATAAAAAGCCGAGAATTTGGCCTACCGAGCGTATATGCAGTTACGACAAGCTGAAACGAATCGTTGCTTACTCCTTGCGATTCATACGCAAGACTAGCAAAGGCAGATTCTATCCACTTGCTGAAGAATGTGAAACATTTGATGATATCCCAAATGCTTAAGAGATGATCATAGCAGAGCGTCATCTACTTCAAGAAGAACAACGGCAGTCTGACTTGCAATCGATGATGAAGAGCTGCAAAAATAAGAACGTAAAAAACGATACACAAGGGCTCGCTAGGAAAATCGGCCGTTTACAAAACTCAGAGTTGGACTACGACACCGTGAATCCTATATACCTTTCCCGAAAAGGACTATTGAACACCAGAATAGCAGAGGATCTACACAAAACTCTGTTCCATTGTGGCACTAATCAATTGGCCAACGCCCTTCGCAAAAGATTCTGGATACCAGCAGACAGAAGCCTTTGCAAAAAGACCATTCGGAACTGCGTCACATGTCAAAGGCACAACGCCGTTCCCTACAAGTACCCACACATGGGTCCATTACCATCCGAAAGAGTCACAAAAGCACCACCATTCAGGTTTACCGGCGTAGATTTGATGGGACCAGTAACCATTAAAAATATCAGCAATGAAGATGAAAAACGCTACGTGGTGTTATTTACCTGCCTGGTAACACGGATGGTTCACTTGGAAGAAGCGAAAGATCTGTCAGCAAGAAATTTCCTCCTAGCCTTCAAGCGGTTCACATCAAGAAGAGGTGTCCCATTAAGAATGCTAAGCGATAATGGCACCAACTTTCGCTTGACTGACCATTCTTCGACGCAATGAACCTCCGCTGTGCTCAGAATTCTCATTATTTCTTGCAAAGCACAACATACAATGGAACTTCATACCTCCAGCGTCTCCTTGGATGGGAGGAACATGGGAACGAATGGTTGGAACCGTCAAGAGGACGCTGCTCAAAACGATAGAACGACGGAAAATTTCCGAACCAATCTTTTACACGGTGCTTTGCGAAATCAAGTCCGCCGTTAATTCCCGACCACTCACAGTCACCGGAGAAAATGATGACGTGAATGATGTGCTTCGTCCCGTTGACTTCATCTACAAAAACATACGACACGGCATGGAAATTATCACTCAAGATGACGAGAGTCAGGAAGACCCACCATACCAACCAAATCCTGAACTTTCCACACAACGCGATGCAAAGAGAGCTATTTCTGAAGCTGAAAAGCTTACAGCGAAGTTTTGGGACAAATGGAAAACCGAGTACCTTACGGAGTTACGCGACCGCCATGTGTTGTATGGAAGCAACTACAAGTCTGCTAACAATCTTCCTCAAATTGGAGACATCGTACTCATTGATGATGACTTAAAATGTCTAGAGATCACTGGCCAATGGGTCTTATACAAGAGCTGATCAAAAGCAGAGACGGTGAAATCAGAAGCGCCATCCTTAAAACAAGCAGCGGAAGACACATCCAGTGCCCTATCAATCGCCTTATTCCATTGGAGATACATGCTTCCACTTCTCCTGACGCAGTGACGGAGATTCGACATGAAGACGAACAAGTGCAACGCAATGAGGCATCCCAAGAGCTACAACAACGACCACGTTTGGCGCGGAAAGCAAAAAGGCCTGTCAACTACAGCGAGAACATGGCAATTCTTCGACCGCGACTCGCCATATCAAAAGCTCCAATTATGCTACTAGCCCTAGCAGCGTGTTCACTACTCACCTCTGTAGAGAGTACGATACTCAAATGCACGAATACTGGCTTTCTTCTTGATGTGAAATCCCTTGATGACAACATCAAGAGCGAGATATGCATAAATCACATGGATTGTCAGGCTATTCATCCAAGCCAACTACCACTACATGGATACCTCTTGCCACGTCAAATAACCAGCCCATACTCCGTTAGATGGCGTGGTATCATCAACATCACTCAGCAAGAAGAAGAAGTTAAGTGCCCAGAACAATCCGTGTGCAATTCCATACATTGCACCTTCTGTCCTCTCCTTCTGGGAAATCCACAATGTTTTCCAACAACCACGATTGCAGTGGTGACCACGATGCTTTACATCATTGCATTACTCACTATTGCCTGCGCATATCTCGGCGCAAGCACGATACTTCTGCTTAAACGAAGATGGAACCTGTACAAGGCACGCACCGCGGATAATACACCGCCCCCAGTTCTAGCCGATACCTTGGAGATGCAGTCAAGGAAACCTATGGACACCCGCCAGCGAAGGAGTTCTGGTGGTCAGTCAACGCGCTCAAAGCTTCTCTTCGTTTTGTCCATTCTGGCTACAGCAAACTGCTGCCAGCACACCCACGTTCTCAACACCAAAGACGTGATCTGTGATGGTTACGGTAAGGACGCAAGATGCAGAAATGTCGAAGAGCACACGTTCACGATGAGCAACTTCAAACGAGAAGTCTGCATGAAGATTGTATACAAGGATGAGCTCATAGCGACAATGCATCTGAAGCTTGACAGCATTAGATATGACTGTATCCCTGTCACCCACTTCTTCACGAGGAATACTGAACTAAGGACAATATCGTCAAAACGCTGTGCTCGTGCTGGAAGCTGCACGCAGCACAAGTGTCGGACCACAGGCCAGAATTCCTACATTCCTGAGCTGAATAGTTCCTACCGCTCTCCTGGAATTGCACGATGCCAAGAATCCTGCGGAGGAATCGGTTGCGGCTGCCTTCTACCCATGCCGGGCTGTCTTTTCTCTCGTACGTACCCCACACCAGAAGACGACCTCATATACGAGGTATTTTCATGTCCAGTATGGAGCAAAACTGCACGACTACGCGCTCATTTGAGTTTCGTCACTGGAAGAGAGGTTACAAAGGAAATGGATATCTCGCCACAAGAAACCGTACAATTTGATAGGATGAACCTCACGCTCGATTTCATTACCGCTCCCACAATTCCTACACTGGACAGGCGATTTGTTCAAGTATACAACCAAAGCGATCCGGCTACAATGATATCTTTACCCGAAGACATCTTCTCGGTTAAGTGCAACTCTTCAGTAACGGCAAGAAATCTGACGAAATGCCGAGTTATGGACACTTGCAAATGCACATCCAAAACCACAACAGTTTTGTGTCGCTGTGCCAATATCAACATTACGGAAAGAATGTCATCCTGACACTCGCTTACCAATACTCAACTCGGAATTTTCCCTGGTAGCTGAATCGGGTTCAGTAACCATGCTGAGTCATGCATCCGTTGCTGAGATTTCCATAGCAACGATTGCACAGTGGAAAACAGCCACAGTCATCGTTCCCACTACCTGCGATGTCCAGGTAACGCAAGCGAAAGGATGCTACAACTGTCTTCAAGGAGCAAAAGCCGTCTTTACTTGCACCTCCAAAATCAATACGATACTAGAAGTGATCTGCTCGGACCATCACTACACCATAGATTGTGGACCAAAGGGAGCAAACACTACAATTGTGATCAACTCTATAGCTGCCAACTACGCTGCACAATGCTCAGCTCGGTGTGGCTCAATCCAACATGATATGCTTATCACTGGCACACTCCAATATCACTCACTGTGGAAGGATCATGCTGATGCCTCAAAACAGAAAGCGCTAATTATGTGGATCTTATAAACATCCCGGATCTAAACAACATCGCTCAAGTATTCGCACAATGCTGGAAGACCTCACTGTTGGCAGTAGCACTGGTAGCCATGGCCGTCATCACCACCATAATCTGCGGCCCACTTGCTCTCAAGAAATTGCTACCTGCTTAAACTTGACGAACGCACTTCTGTATCATATGTACATAACGCCTACATATCGTCATCATACCACTTACTGCACATACAATCATGACCAGGTCATTATAGCCCGCCGTAATGCGCGACCTGGTCGTTAATCCTACTCTGATATCATATCAACGCACACCTGAAGAAGCTTTACAACAAGTAAACGAAAGGTCATCACCTCACATATATAACCCTGTATCCGGCAATCACCATCATTGCGATATTCCCTTCTTCAACTACCATGTCGTGCACCTCTGTCCCGGAAGAAGACCTTCTCGATCTGTCGATCACCGCCGAAGAACAACTGTGGAATGCAGCCAATTGCCCTTCCCTCGAAGCCGAAATTCCCATCGCTCCAACACCTGACCAATTCCGCCAATCAACACCAAAGAAGACTCGCGGAGGCAAAAGAAAGCGAATGAGGAAGGGAGAAGACAACGAAGGCGAGCAACCTTTCAAGATTCCAAAAGTTAGTGTGCTTCCAGGAGTAGTGCCTAAGCCGAAAATTACACTTCGGCCCCTACTCTTGTCCACTACGGAATCCGGCTGCATCTCCACCAAGGACGTGGTGGATATGTTCCATGCAATCATGGACCAAACCACGTCCGCGGACAGACGTCTCGATCGCCTGGAGGACGCAGTACGTGTCATCAAAACACAACTGGATCGGATTGAGAAGAGTCAGCAAACGAAGGACCAGCAGCCACTTCCGCCTATCCCGAAGCCGCATGGTTGTCCAGAGGTCCCTCCGACAAGGTACTGCGAGGTATGCCAAGTTGGGGGCCATCAAGCGGCGCAATGCCGCAACAAGCGCAACATGGACCCCTCCTACGTACATCGCCTGTATAAGAAAAAGGGAATCTGTAAGAATTGTCACGCGATACATGAGATGCAAAAATAATTTGTTGTAATTCGCTGTTGTTTTTCTAGATTTTCCTCATTGTATTGTGTGCTTTATCAATAATTGATTTATATTTTTTTCCTGCATTTTATTGCACTTCAAAGTCGCAATAAAATTTTTTTAGCTTTCATTGTTGACCTCACAGTATAACAGTTTCGCCGAATCTAATCGCTATCCATCTCTTCCACATTACGCGCTTCTCGCGCTTTTCGGCTGGCCCCCCACTGTCGATAATAATAGAATAATTATCGACCACTATTTTACATTGTATATTATTCTTGTCGTTGACAAACCATCCTAGCGTGGAACACTTAAGCCGCCAAGGTCACCCCCCATTGCTGCTTGATAGCACACTTGGCGGCTATTACTTTCATGTAAGCATCAATAATTTTCGAGTGATACCTGTATGATACTATTGTTTGCCAGAAGGAAGCATCTAGGTTGCCACGCCCAAAATAGTGGCATAAATAGACCTGGATGCTCACTTCTGGACTCGTCTCGCCAAATCTATATTCCACTGGAATTGTTTCCCGAATAAACAATTCCTTCAACGTAGTGGCATCCAATATTGGTTAACACCAAAGCTGGCTTCAACTTAGATTTACAGTATGGAGCGAATCGCGGGTCTCCTCTCATTACTGTAGGATTGCGGTAGGAACTTCAAAGAGGGTTTTGAGCCATGAAAGGCCATATTTTGCCTCAGAAAGGAAACAAGACAGCCTGAAAAATTTTACACTAGGCTAATTAGAGTTGCTGATTTTAATTGTGAAGTTCCCAACTTATTATGATGCTTTATTGAAGAATTATGCCAGGTAAGAGGTAGCGGCCATTTTTTCAATGTTCCTAAAAAGTGCGGTTTCACCGTTTAGAAAGCTTCGCAATCTTGTGAATAGTTGAGTATTGAACTCAGCGTCCATAAAAACCCTATTACACAAGTTTTCACATTTTTTTGAAAAATTATGAAACGGCAGCTTTTTCCACATCGACATCATATGTTTCAAGTTTCTACCGTAATCCTACAGTAATGAAGAGAGATGGGTGATTCGTTCTGTACTGCAAATCTAAGATGAAGCCAGCTCTACAAAATGGTACCTGAAGCAAGGCAAAAGACTTCTTGGGAAAAGAGATATTAACGATCAAACAGTGCATACATAGTTTACGGACACCCTGTATATATGAATGGATAAGTTAGAGTTTCCAAGGAACTTTCCAGGCATAGTTCTCAATTTTTTACGAGTTTTCGGGCTTCTAAAAGATTTTAAACTTCGATTTTCATCCCACTGCAGACGCTGTGCGAAAGTTTGGGCTCCACTCTGTAGAGCTTGCGATGGTTTCCCAGAACTTTTTTGATAATCAAGGAACATGGAAGTCATTTGAATGAAACGTGGAAAAGGACGAAACTTATGGAACAACTTCAGATTCAATTTCTAAAAAAACCTAGTCCGAGACCAGTTCAAAAATTACAATTAGAAGAAGCTTGAGATAATGCTTTGAAGTTGTTTCACCAGTCTGTGTACTTCTTATGTGCTCTATCAGTACACGGTGTCCCGAAAGTAAGTACACACTTTTCAATCGTCAATATCTCTCTTCTCAAAGGGTTTTTTGCCAGCTAAGTACCCTGTAGAGGGAGCTTCAACTTAGATTTATAGTATTGATTGAATCACCGATCACCTTTGTTATTGTAGGATTACGGTAAGAACTTCCAGCATGTGGAACTATTATGAAATATGCCATCTGACAAAATTTTTTCAAAAAATCTGAAAAATCGTTTACTAAGGTTTTCGCGCATGCTGATTCCACTACACAAGTTTTTACGAATGTTTTCAGCTTTTTTGACGGTGTAATCACATTTCTGACGAATACTCGGGATTCAATTATTACGGTTTACTTGAGATAACTTTGGAAAGAAGCATCACAGTTAAGTGGAAATCTCATATTCGAAGCCAGGCTTCCATTATCGTAGTATAGGAGTTTTTGACTTGTTTGGTTTTATTCCGGGCCAGAATATGACTCCCAATGGCCTAGAATTCTTGCAGAGGTCCTACAATAATCGTACAGTAACAAAGAACGATCGGAGATTCCCTCAATACTATGAGTCTAAGTTGAAGCCTCCTCTACCAATGATCTTTGAATGGCGGAAAAATACGCAACTGGAAGAGAGATATTAGCAATTGAAAAGTGTGTACTTACTTTTGAGACACCCTGTATTTCAGCTTGACCCATCCCAACGTTTAACGAGACTAAAAGTAGCTAAGTATTTCATAAATTTATCTGTGATATCAGTGAACTTGATACAATGGATGTTGGCAGCACTCCCCTTGCAAGCAAAGACGCCATGAGAGTTATTAACAAGTTTTGGAAAGACTATTACTTTAGCGTAAAAACATTATGCTGGCTGGGCCACTTATTGATCAGCATGTACCCCTCAAAAATAATCAGGTGACGCTATTTTAAACCTTACTAACCTTCAGAAAATATATCGTGCATCTGTAGTGTTATTCCGTTTGTCAACTATACCAGGTAGCACGTTAAAGATCCCCAAAGCTGAATTCGTAGTTTGAAATTGTGAGGCCCAGAAATCAAAACGATAATGCTTCAATTTGCATGTAAAAGCTTGCTGTCAATTAGGATACAAAACTTTAATTATCAAAACGATCAAACTACGATATGACTTTGAAAGCTGAAAAGACTCTCAATGAGCTTTTAGAAACATTACCACAACAGCCCCGGCATAAAAGCCCTACAACATGATAATTTTTTCGCATGCGGCTTTATCACATTTTGCTCGTGTTTCTAAGTGCGCTTGTGTTTGTACAAGCGGCTCGCACAACAACGAAGGAGCCCGAGACTGATGCGGAAGAAGACGGGGTGTAAGTTAACTTTCTTACATAGTTTGACTGAAACTTCCTAGTAATGCGCTCCTTTTAGCTATCTGAAGCCATCCAAGAAGAACAAGGGCAAAGGAAAACCTTAGTGTCTCGTCAACATATCCAGCAATTCTGAACTTAATAAAATTCTCAAATGTTATGCTTTTTTGTGTTATGCTGAACGAAATCGCTATACCAAATTTGTTCTAAAGATCAAGTGTTTGGCTTACAGGTGTCGCATTAGATGCGACAACATTCCAAATGTATGCATTTTTCACTGTGGCAACAGTACAGTCTGTCAATCGTAAAAGCCCTTTTCCATGAGGACAACCGCAACGCCAACTTCGCGCCGCTTCGCGAACGTAAGGCTCGGATATTACTAGTGTCATCAAATGGGAATACACGCGTAATGTTTTCGCGGTGTGGATGCGTAATATTCTCGAAAAGGAAGTAACCATCGGCACACTTTGAATAATTCGCATTGAGATTGGTTGCTGGCAGGGTATGCTGGCAAACAATGTGCTCAAGTGTTTTTTTTCAGTTTTTTTCTTATTTGAAGCCATTCGAAAAGTCTCTTATGCTTCCTCTAATCTGGTAAGAAATTT